AATGATCAAATTGAAGTGGTTAAGTAGTGGAGAGAACTTATTTGTAAGCATCCGTCTGTTAACCCAGTTTTTACTTCTATTAATAATAAGTTAGTAGAGCAGAATTTTAGAAGTCACAGTATTTCAAGGTCTGTGAGGACAGTAGCAACAATAGTGTTTTGCCCTGTGCCTACCTGTGTATTTCCTTTTCCAAGCATTTTATGACCTTTTTATCTGTTATTCAACACCATATTCCTTAGTCTTGGCTTTTAACTTAAAAAAAAAAAAAAAAAACCCACGCAAAAAGAAAAAACTAACATTAGAAATTCTCTCTTGTTACAGGAAATGAGAATCAATTATTCCAGACATTCCTGGTGCCTCTCTCTTCATCTTCTCAAATAGTTATAACACATGTTTTTTATTAACTGTTAAACCAAGTAGTGTACTATAATCACATTTCCTTTCTTGGATGATTTTTCTGTTTTTACTGTAATTTACAGTTCCTTTATTATTACATTTGCTTAAATTTCAAGACACTGTACATACTTTATCCAAAATCGGCAACAGAATTGCCAAGCTCTCTGAATTTCTGCTTTTCATACAAATTCCATTAGTACCATTTATTCCCTTCCCTCTCTTAGTAGATATATTTCTTGGAATTTTCTTCTCATTTTATTCTGTCCTTTTATGTCCTCATTCGCTTCTGAACTGGTTGCTCTCTAGGCCAGTTTGAGCTCCCATTTACCTCACTCTTTGCTGGATTTCTTCCTGGTTTTGGCAAAGCAACCTCTCCTAGTAGTTGTCTTAGAAGAGATGCATGGGAGCTAACTCTTGAGATCTTTCATGCCTGGAAATGGATTATTTTACTCTCACTTGAGTTTTGACTGGAAAAAGGTTGAAAAAAAAATTTCTTTTTTTAAGTGGGGCTTAAACTTAGGTCCCTGAGGTCAAGAGTCACATGCTGTACCTACTGGGTCAGTTAGGTGCCCAGGTTGAAATATTTTTTAAAGACATTATCTTTCTGTATTCTAGTGTTGCTGTTGGCTGTTGAGAAGTAGAAGTTTAGAGTTGTCACTTCTGATTATTTAATATGGCTTAGTTTATGTGTGTGCAGGCTTTTATAATATCTTTATTCCTGGTGTCTTGAAATTTCATGGTTATATTACTTGGTATAGATCCAATTTTTTTCATTATGCAAACATTTGGTGAGTCAGTCTAGAATAGATTCTTTTGCTTCTGTTAAGTTTTCATGCACCATTTTAAAAAAGTTTTTACTTAAATTCCAGTTAAAATACAGTGTAGTTTTAGTACAATATAGTGATTCAGCATTTCTGTATATCACCTGGTATTCATCACAAGTGCATGCCGTAATTCTCATCACACATTTAACACATATCCCCCCCCCCCCCAACCATCAGTTCTCTATAGTTTAAAGAGTCTTCCTTGGTTTGCCACCCCCCCCACCTTTGCTCATTTGTTTTGTGTCTTAAATTCCACATATGAATGAAATCACATGGTATTCACTTAGCATAATTAATACTCTCTAGCTCCATCCATGTGGTTGCAAATGGCAAGATTTCATTCGTTCGTATGGCTCAGCAATATTCCGTTACACACACACACACCACATTCCTTATACATCCATCATTCAGTGGACATTTGGGGTTTTTACATAATTTGGCTATTGTAGATAGTGCCGCTATAAACATTGGGGTACATATATCCCTTCGAACTAGTAGTGCAGTTGCTGGATTGTAGGGTAGTTGTATTTTAACTTTCTGAGGAACCTCCATACTGTTTTCCAGAATGACCACACCGATTTGCATTTCCACCAGCAGTGCAAGAGAATTCCCCTTTCTCCACACCCTAGCCAACACCTGTTGTTTCTTGTGTTGTTGATTTTAGCCACTCTGACAGGTATAAGGTGATATCTCATTGTAGTTTGATATGCATTTCCCTCATGATAAGTGATGTTGAGCATTTTTTCATGTGTTTGTTGGCTATCTCTATGTCTTTGGAAAAACGTGTGTTCACGTCTTATTTTTTAATTGGATTGTTTTTTGGGTGTTGAATTTTATAAGTTCATTATATATTTTGGATACTAACCCTTTATCGGATATGTCATATGCAGATATCTTCTCCCATTCAATAGATTACCTTTTAGTTTTGTTGATCGTTTCCTTTGCTGTGCAGATTTCTTGCACAGTTTTTATTTTTTATTTTTAAAAATTTTTTAAATGTTTTCATTTTTGAGAGAGACAGAGACAGAGTGTGAGCAGGGGAGGGGCAGAGAGAGAGGGAGACACAGAATCTGAAGCAGAGGCTGGGGTCCAAATGTCAGCACAGAGCCCAATGTGGGGCTTGAATTCATGAACCGCGAGATTATGACCTGAGCTGAAGTTGGACGCTTAACCGATTGAGCCACCCAAGCGCCCTTTTGCACAGTTTTTAAATTATTATATTCTGTGTGTCATTTTCTTTGTTCTTTCTTGAACTTCTGTTAGTTCAATATCAGACCTCCTGGTTTGATCTTCTAACTTGTCATATATCACATAAATTCCATTCTTGGTCATTTTGTTAATATTTTCTAGATCTCAGTTTTCTCTTGGTCTTTCTGTTGAATATATTATTTCTTCCACTTCCTTTTTTTTCCCCCTTAATTTTCAAGAGTTTTTCTGGTTCAAGTTCGTTTTCCTGCCCCCGCCCCCGCCACTCTTGTTCCGAGAAGATAAAAGGAACTATCTTTTCTCTTTCTCTGCATTGTCCCTGTTTCCTTCAGGTTCCCTATTTTGGTTTGCTTAGTTTTTAGTATCTCATTGAAACTTTCATCCTTTGTGTTTTGGCCTGAGGCTCAAAAAATCTGGATGCTAAGTGGACAGGTGTGGAGCTTGTCAAGTGGTAAGTTTCACCCTAATGCTGAAATAAAATAAATAAATATGTATATGTATGTATATGTGTGTATGTATGTATATATTTTTTTTAATTTTTATTTTTATTTATTTTTTTCTTTGGTGCTCTAATAGGGAAGAAGGGTAGAGGAGGAGAGAGAGAGAATCAGAGAATCTTAAGCAGGTTCCATGCTCAGCATAGAGCCCACGGGGCTTCATCCCAGAATCCTGGGATCACGACCTGAGCCAAAATCAAGAGTTGGACTCTCAATCAACTGAGCCACTGAGGCACCCATCTATATGTATCTTTTCTCGGGTATCATTTCACTTTCTCTAGAAAACATCATTTATCTCTTCATTCAAATACTTTCTGAATGCCTGCTTTTATGTCAGGCTCTAGGTGCTGGGAATTTAACTGAATTAAATAGATAAAAATTCCTACCCTTGTGGATTTTATAGTTTTGCATAGGGAGACAGAAAATAAATAACAGGAATAAGTAAATATAGCATATTTAAGGGATGTTAAAAAAAGTAAGGAAGAAGGGTAGGGATTATTAATAGACAATGGACATGGGGTGGGGGACTTGGGAAAATGTTGCCACTTAGGAAAGGACAAGGGGAAGGAGCCATAATGGAGAAGAGTGGTCTAAGTTGGAAGAACAGTTACATGCAAAGTTCTTGAGGTGGGAATCTTTCTGACTTGTGTGTGGAACAATAAGGAAGCTGATCTAGTTAGCTAGATCAAAGAAAGATACAGAAAATTATGAGGACAGCATGGAATATGGGGGGGGGTAGGCAGAATGTGTAGGGCCTTATGAAACATTTTAAGGACTTTTGCTTGAGTCTTAGTGAAAGATGGGATTTGCAGATAGGCAATAAACGGTTATCTCAAGTTTGGAATTCAGGAGAGAGGTCTGGGCTATGATATAAATTTGAGAGTTACCAGTGCGTATTTAGAATTTAAAGTCATGAAATTAGGGAAAATCACCATGGGAATGAGTAAAGATAGAAAAATTCACTTCGGTTTTTAGAAGAGTTCAGAGAGGCAAGGAGAAACTAGTAATGAAGATTGAAGAATGAATGGCCCAGAGGTAGGCGAGGAGAGTTTTTGTGCAGAAAAGAATGAAGAACTGCTTTAACCACTGCTAATTAGTTTGAGGATAGACCACATTGAGAGAGAGAGAAAAGAGAAACTCAAGGAGTCTAGGATGAGGTAGGTGACTTAAAACAGCCTAAAAATCTTAATTTTCCAATTGTACCTGGTTTCTGTCTCTCAAAAGATTTGGAGCTTTCAGACTGTGTCCTAATTTCACTTGTCTTTGGAGAAGTTTTCTGAAATAGTATTGGTTGTTAGGTTTGTTATATAGGTTAATTAGCAAATTGCATGCCTAATTGGAATTGTTAGTCTTGTTCAGAGTCTCAGTAATTCCTAGAGAAACAAAAACATGGGCTGTAGACAAAGTCTGAGGTTTATAAATGCCAGGCACATCGCCCTTTTTTTTCTTTTGATTTGATTGTGGGAAACTCAACCCAAGCTGAAGATTTTGGTTGATTAAGGAATAGACAGATCTGGGAGATTTGTATTACTTTTGCCTCATGTATTTTGAAGCTCTGTGTTATAAGATGCATAACCATTTAGTATTTTTGCCTTCTTAATGAATTAACCCTTTTATCATTATGAAATGACCCTCTTTATCCCTGGTAGTAGGTTTTTGCTTTGCAAGCTAGTTAAGGCTATTTTTTTTCCCTAGTGGGAAACTTTTTTTTTTTTTTTTTTTTTTTTTTTTTTTTTTTTTTGCATTAAAAGGGGCACCTGACTGGCTAAGTTGTGAGTTCAGGCCCCACTTGGGTGTGGAGCTTAGTTTAAAAAAATTAGATATTTTAAAATTTACCTTTTCATTTCTTTATTGTAAAAATTATTTTTATATAGCTGTTTCTTCTGCCATGTTGGATCTTGTATTACTCAAGTTTAAAATTGAATAATTTGTTCAGAATATGCATACTTAGAGGCTATCAAGAGCCAAACAGACACAAATTTTAAAAGTGTATTTTTATTTTTACTCCCAGTTAATTTTGGGAGAGCCAAGTTCAGAGCCATAGATATAATTTACCTTTTTTTCTTCTGTGTTGTAGGAATAGACTTTAAGATCAAAACAGTTGAATTACAAGGAAAGAAGATCAAGCTACAGATATGGTAAGTGATGCTAATTTACCTACTTTATAAATAGAATACCAAGTTCCTGAAGGATTGGCAGTGAAATCCTTCCTTGTCACCTGTTTAGTTTCTGTGAGACTTTCCTTTGTTAAGCCAGCAATCAGGACACCTTCTTTCAGTAAAGTAAAAAAAAAATTATTGACATGGAGCACCTGATGGCTCAGTCAGGAGAGCATGTGACTCTTGGTCTCAAAGTCATGTGTACAAGCCCCATGTTGGGTGTAGAGATTACTTTAAAAATAAATGGGTGCCTGGGTGGCTCAATCGGTTCAGTGTCTGACTTTTGATTTTGGCTCAGGTCATGATCTCTCACGGTCGTGAACTTGAGCCCCATGTCCTCTGGCTCTGCTGGGTGTGGAGCCGCTTAAGAGTCTCTCTTTCTCCCTCTTCTTCTGTCCCTCCTCTACTTGTGCTCTCTTTCAGAAAAATAAAAGAGAAAAAAAAATATATTGACATGGACTTTGGAGTCCATGAGATCTGGCTGGATGTTTTACCTTTTCCACTTGCTCTTTGAACCTTGAGCAAGTTACATAACACTGTGAGGCTGTTATGTCTTCATACATAAAATAGAAATAATACCACTTATCTCAAAACATTGTTCTAGGGGCGCCTGGGTGGCGCAGTCGGTTAAGCGTCCGACTTCAACCAGGTCACGATCTCACGGTCCGTGAGTTCGAGCCCCGCGTCGGGCTCTGGGCTGATGGCTCAGAGCCTGGAGCCTGTTTCCGATTCTGTGTCTCCCTCTCTCTCTGCCCCTCGCCCGTTCATGCTCTGTCTCTCTCTGTCCCAAAAATAAATAAACGTTGAAAAAAAAAATTAAAAAAAAAAAAACAAAAAAAAACAAAAAACATTGTTCTAAGGATTATATGAAATAATCTGTGTAGAGCCTTTATTTAGCACCATACTTTGCTCACACTCAATAACGAAAAGTTAATATCCTTTCATTGCTTTGAGATTCTTAAGCTAGAAGATTTCCTTTAATGTGTTTATCACTTTTTTTTTTTTTTAAGATTATTTCTTTATTGTTGAGACAGAGAGAGCACAAGCAGGGGAGGGGCAGAGATGGAGAGAGAGAATCCCAAGCAGGCTCTGCACTATCTGCACAGAGCCCAATGACGGGCTCTATCCCACGAACTGGGAGATCATGACCTGAGCCAAAACGAACAGTCTGATGCTTAACTGACTGCACAACCCAGGCGCCCCTATAACTTTTTAATTAGTTTATGTAGGGTTTGCCCCATAGAAATAAAATGAAATTATTTAAATTTGTATTCAAGTCTGAATCGTAGACTTTACTATTAGAATAGCAGTATTGTGTGGTGAATATTAAGTGTTTTACATGTATGTATTAACCTATTAAATACTCGAAATGACCTTGCAAGATGTGTTATTCCATTTTTTAAACAGCCTTGTTGAGGTATAACAGTTTATATAACAATAAACTGCACATATTTAAAGTATACAGTTTGGTTAGTTTTGACACATATATATATATAAATCTGTGAAATCATCACCACAGTCAAGGTAATGAACAAATCCATCACCTTAAGCCTCTTTGTAATCTCTTCTTCCTCCCAGTTCCTGGTCCCCAAGTAACCATTCTTTTGGTTTCTGTCACTGTAGACCAGTTTCCATTTTCTAGTAGCGTATATAAATACAATCATATAATGTCTTTTTTTTTTCTCATCTTTTTTGGGAGGGAGGTCTGGCTTCTTTTACTCAGTATAATTAATTATTTTGAGAATTGTGAATGATTTTATGTGTATCAATAAGTTCATTACTTTTTATTGCTGAGTATTATTCCATTGTTACATCGTAAGTGGGTTATTCACCACAAAGCTGCTACAAATCTTTGTGTAGGTAAATATTTTCTTTTCTCTTGGGTTATCCCTGTTTTACAGATAATGAAATGGACAAATTTTGAAATAACTTAGCCAAGATCTTTAGCATGTAAATGGTAGAGCAGGGATGCATTACATGCTCAGAATGTAAGGTCGAGAGTAACACTCTTTAATTTTTTTTAATGTTTATTTTTGAGAGAGAGAGTGCGAGCGGGGTAGGGACAGAAAGAGAAGGAGACACACAGTCCGAAGCAGGCTCCAGGCTCTGAACTGTCAGCACAGAGCCCAACGCGAGGCGAGGCTCAAACTCACAAACCATGAGATCATGACCTGAGCCAAAGTCAGATGCTTAACCAACTGAGCCACCCAGGTGCCCCTAAAATGTAGGCATTTTATTAAAGATTTTCTTTGACACACGGTCCACCTGATGATCACTGATTTTTTTCTTTACTTTGGGAAATAACTCAGGAAAGGAACTGTGCCTCATACTCTGTTTCCTTATAATTAAAGCTGATCTCAAGGGAAAGGTTGTCAGTTATTCTCAATTTCAACCAACTCCCCCCCCGCCCCAACCCCCTTTTTTATCACCAGTGCCTTATCCCTGCAGCATTGACCCTACAGGGTAATCTAATGTGTGTTCCAAGCTCCTCTTAGGCTCTGCCACACTGATTGGCTTTCCTCTCAACTGCATCTCCTCTGTATACACCTTAAACTCCTACTGTTCAAACTTTTTGGCGGTAACAGATATATTTTACATTGTGACTCTGTGACTCAATATATATGTACGTGTGTGTGAGTGTATGTACAATGGACACAAAAGTGCACACACCAAGTATTTTAGGATACAGTTTTCTCTATATATCTACAGAAAACCTTTGCCCTACTAAATTTGCCCTGTTCCTCCTATACTCTGTCTTCCACAGACTTTCCCTTCTGTTTCTTGTCCTGTGACTTTAAAATATTTTTTCTCCCTGTCATTTTAGTTTTTGTAGCATCTAGAAGTAAACAGTAACAACTAACACTTGCTTTTTTAAAAAGAGAGCCTTCCCAGAACACTTTGTTTTGCAACAGTAATTAATCTAGAAAAGATTTCTACTGTACCTATAAACCTCAAGTATGGCACAGAAATGGTAACATTTCTAATTTAGAATTGTTTGATTTTAGACATTATTAATATAACCGTTTTTGGGTAAAAGCACCTTAAAAGGAAAATTGCATTTAGTCTAGGTTTTCATATATAAAACTGACCGCTTTTAATTTGAAATATCCATTTTCCAATAAGATTAGGAATGAGTGGTTAAAATTTGAGGTTGATGGTTTTTAAGAGGTTAGCATTGTACTGGCTGATTCTGTTTCTTTGGTTTTGAAAGTTTGCATGCTGACAATCCAAGGAGAAGGCTCCAAGTTAAGAGATCTGGGATATGCCACAAAATTCAAGAAGGCTTTTAGCATGAAAAACCCGTTGTTCATAATTCAAAATGCTATCTTCAACGTTAAATGCTTTGCTTCCAGTTCCTAAAAAAAGCACAGTGATCTTTATCTGTCTCTAGTTTGAATGAATATTTTCAGATTCTTGTTTCAGCATGAAAAATTTCTGTGCTTTGATTGAATATTGATTTGGGAAACTTTTCTTCAGTCTGTGCTAAAGATTTATTTTTGTTTACTTGAATGATCTTCACCTCTCGTCTTATTTCTAGGGGTCTTTTAGTGTATCTGTTGCCTAAGGGTGGAGATGTGTGTCACCCTGGCCACGGCATATATGAGTAGGCCTGAAATTAGTTTGTTTGGCTGATAGAGAAGCAGCTGTGGCTATTTATTTATTTAATAAGATTTTTTAATGTTTATTTTTGAGAGAGAGAGACAGAGCATGCGTGGGGGAGGGGCAGAGAGAGAGAGAGAGAGAGAGAGAGAGAGAGAGACAAAGTATCCAAAGCAGGCTCCAGGCTCTGGGCTGTAAGCACAGAACCTGATGCGGGGCTTGAACCCACAAACCATGAGATCATGACTTGAGCTGAAGTTGGCAGCTGTGGCTTTTTAAATCCCAGATCTCTAGAAATTCCACCACAGTATCTATCTGCATTTTCCATAGAGTTGTAGGTCTTGCCAGGAAAATGGCCATAGTGAAGTATTTCAAATTTGCCTTTCCTTGTTTTGTTTCATTTTGTTCTGTTTTGAAGGGAGGGTGGTCAGAAATGTTTGTTACTATTGGCATCTGTATCTTGTACTTTCAATTTAACATCAGCATAGTAACCAGAAATCAATAGTGTCACTTTGTAGAATTAACCATTTATCTATGCAAGGGAGTCATCTTTGATTCTTCTCATTCCCTTAATCCCAACATCCTTTTTGGTAAGCCCTATGATTCAATCTTATAATGTCTAGAATCCAAATACAATTTGCCATCTCCATTGTTAACCCCCACCCTCACCCCCGGTCCAAGCCACCATTACTACTTCTTTGAGCCACTGCAATAAGTAGGCTCTTAATATCCTAACAGGTTCTTATTTCCCCCTTTTGCCGCCTTCTCTTTTGCCTTTTCCCACATAACAACCAGAGTAATCTTTTTTCCAAATACAATCAAATCTAGATCATGGTTTTTATTCCTTCCCCATTTATAACCATTTTGAGTTTCATTGCATTGCATTTCAATTTTTTTTTTTTCTAATGTTTATTTCTTTTTGAGACAGAGAGAGACAGAGTGAGCTAGGAAGGGGCAGAGGGAGACAGAGACAGAGTGAGCTAGGAAGGGGCAGAGGGAGAGGGAGACACAGAATCTGAAGCAGGCTCCAGGCTCTCAGCTGTGAGCACAGAGCCCGACGCGGGGCTCAAACTCAACTAACTGAGAGATTGTGACCTGAGCCGAAGTCGGACGCTTAACGGACTGAGCCACCCAGGCGCCCCGTTTCATTGCATTTCAAATGAAAGTCTAAATTCCAAATTCTTTACCACAGTTAACAAAGTGGGCCTCTTTATCAGTTTGTGTTCTCTTGTGTAAATATAGTCTCTACCCCCAGCTGATCTCCTTTCAATTGCATGGACATGGCAAGTTCTTTTTCAATTTGGGACCTTGGTGCATGCCTTGTAGATCTCCCTTAAACAACCCCACCTCCACACCCCCACCTGTGGCTAGACTGAACA